TAATCAATCATTACTGGACGAGAAATTACGAGAAAACCTCGAAAAGTCTGAGTTCAAGCCAAGATTGAGATGATGTCCAACTTTGTATCGCGCCTCCCTGCATTGTGAAGCGATGGCATCCATGAGGTGCTCAAAAACAGGCAAGGACCCCGCAGTAGCATTGCTGTACAATTTTGATCTTACACGCCTCTCTATAAAAAGAAAGCCCAATTTGAAAAAAGTGACAGAACTTTCCCGCCAACCTAATATTATGGGCCGTAAATATTGACAAACTAAAAAGCCGGAGCTGCGGAAAGGACTTTGCTCAGCGCTGAAGGGCAGTGCTCACCGACACTGCGAGCCCAGTGGTTTCTACTGCATAAAGTCGTGCTATGCGAGCGGTTGCGCAGCCTTTGCTCTTGTGTCATATCGCTGTAATGTGTATGGGGAGAAAAACATTCGATGCCCACAGTATTTCTCAACTTCTAATAGTGCGTTATTAATTACCATGAATTACAAAAAAATGTAAGCGAGTTTCTCCGCGACCGTCCGCGCCCGTGGAATGTCTGCCACTTGTCGTGCGTGCTGGAAAATAAGTGCCCTTTCTTTTCATTAGCTGAAAATTTTATCTTCCATTTGAATGGTTATTTCAGGGCATTCGCATGTGAACGCCACTGTGATCACTGGAGTTGCTGTTCAAGAAAATGACAGCTCTGTAGTACAGGTGAGGTATCCGAAATCCCTGGGGACATGATGCGACTGATTCTCCTCTTCAGGTGTTTGCTCGCAAGCCAATGCGTCGGTGGCGTTACCGCACTGATGTCTATGTAGATGGTGTCCAGCGATTCTTCGACAAACCTCACTGGAAGTACCAACAGTTCAGAAGTGAGTAATTCAGAAGTTCTCCTTTAGTGCTGCTCTTCAAATGATCAGCTGTTTAGATGTGGATTTGCGCAATCCACTACAAAACATGAATCAGTCTGAAATAATTATTATGCTGAAGTCTGGCATTGGTATTCGAGTACATGAAAGTTATGGTATGCTCGATGTGTTAGTGTCACTTCCACCCAGCTATAATACCACGTGCAAGGTGCAACGTTTACCGTTGGCCGGCCTTTGCTTAGGGTTTTATGTTTTTCGAAGGTTTATGTTGTAACACCCCAAAAGGGGCAGCGCGGGCAGGTGTCACCGCCTCTTGCTTCCTTAAATGCAGTAGATGTGGAGCAAGCTCGGTGCTAGGGGGCAACACTTGGGTTTATTGTGTGAGTATAATTGCTAGGCAATGAGGCAACTAATTTCCGGAGAAACGCCTCTTTTATTGCTAAGGGGCACCGGCTTATTTTTTCGGAATTTAGCCGCCTGGATCCTTCGACCTTTGGAAATTTGCGCCGCTGTTCGGTGGGGGGCGGCGGAGAAATTTGTCGCCGCAGGAAGTGCCGTTGACTTATGAACAGAGTTTTTTCTTTGCGCACGGGCTGATGCAGCATTAGTGCTCGCGCTGGGCATAAGTGCCTCGCAGAAACCCCTCAGGTCACCAAGTTCGTGATAACAGCAGCGGCCTTGGATTACTATGAAAATTTAACCGTACAGAGTACACAAGATTCACCTGCGCAATGTTACTCTGTTTGATTTTCTCAATTTTGACGATTATTCATTCAATGGGTTGTAATGTCGAGGTTGTGTTGGGTGGTACCTCTGCTACAACTGTTTCGACTAACGTTTGGCAGCGTTCAGACTTCGCGACGGCAGCGCTTCGGTCGCGCGTTCGACGCGATCGATGCAGTCGAAAGCATGCGCATCGATCGTCGAATCGCGCGACCGAAGCGCTGCCGTCGCGAAGTCTGAACGCTGCCTTTCCCAACATCTCCTCGTCCGAAACGGTCACCTCCCATCCTCACCAAACCGCTACTGTTGAATTGGATAAGCTCACCCGTCGCGCAAAAATATTGATTAAAACATTGTCGGAAAGCAAAAAATGCTTTCTCGCAATCAAGCTTATGGTGTTTTCAGGCGTGTATAATAACGACCCGAACGACGACCTAACGTCTTCGACCGGTCAGGTCACTCGGTCTACTGGCGACACATACACAGCCAGTACAACACAGATGATCTACGAACAATTTGGAGTCACTTGTGAGTTCACTTGCG